ATAGAATAATTGATGATACTAAAATCAGAATATTCTAATATTAAAATATTATTTAAAATTTGGAAATGGAAATTCATGAAAATAAGAGGATTAATAGTTACAGAATCGGTTGTAGAGAAGCTAATTTATTGGTAACTCCAGAATTAATGTTCCATATTATATACATCATTTCAAATTAGGACAAATTAGTGAAAAGGACCCCAAGGCCAGTTTGTTGTGTCTTGTGTGTTCCAAGAATTAGACTGTAACTGACCAGGAGTTCCATCTTCATTTTCTTTCCTACTGTTCAAGCTTCTCAATGTAATCGCTTCATTAGGATAACCATACCCTTGCATATATTCCTTGAAATTTTTTGGTATGTTGAACATCGATTCTGAACTGTTTTAATCAATCCTGAAAACTATTTTTAATAAAATGAGATGATTTATATTCACGAGCATTACTAATTAATATATTGATGATAATTTAGAGAATAAATTAAAGAGAGAAAACATGCCTATATGATCCTTGATTATTGTTCGGATGAATTGTTTCTTTCCCAAATGGTTGGTATTTTGTGCTTGCTCTATTAGGTGACCTTCTTATCGGACCTCCACTGCTGATGCTAAACCAAAATGACAACAATAAAGTCTACTTACATCTAAGAATTGATAAAAGAAAAGTTTGAAAATTATATCTAAATAAAATCAAAACATATATATTTTTGAAAAAAAAAAAGAGGGAAAGGAAATTAAACCTTGTACTTTGTGGGAATTCATTATCCAAGGAACACAAAATTCCATTTTCTTGACCAACCATCAGCTTAGACTTGATGAAGTGACTTTCTAATTTCTCCAAAGTTAGAATATGTGACATATCCTTAGTCTTATGGTTTTCTTCTTCTTTCCAAGAATCCATTGAAGTTCTCAAAGGTTGATCAATGATAAACTTTGATTTCAAGGACGCCCCTCTTTCGAATTTCTCCAAAATTGGGATTTTTGGCAGAGGTTATTGGAGGATCATGTCATTTGTAGTTTCAGGATTTTCTTGATTTATCACATTAGTGCTTGTTCCTCCATCTTTTTGCGACATGGAAACATTTTTCAATCCCAAGGAATATATGTACGATAATGAATAGTCATCATCGTCATCATCAAGGATAATAGGATAAGTTATCCTCGAAGAATTCTTATCCGATGATGAATTACTAGAGGTGTTAGTAGTGGTCATAGGTTGTTTCTCCTCAAAAACAACATTAGGTAATTGTGAAATAATGGTGGTGTCCACATGATGCTCTTGAGTCATATCAAATATTTTTAAAAATTCTATTTCTTCACCAATATCAAATTCATAGGCCCACGGTATACTAGATGAATAAAGATCTCGGTGATCAATATTATCCATGTAACTTTTTTGGAGATTCATCCATGTTTACTAGTCTATATAAAAAAAAATTCCTTGTGGACTTACTTATATAATGAGACACTTGCCATTTTAATTTATGTACATTCCATATTTGGATGAAATTTTCAAATTAATAGATCTAGATGGGATGGTTGACTGAATATTTTTTGTAGATATTAAAACCAAAATAGGAAAAATAACTAATAATCACTTGGTAGGACTTGATTGGATATGACAGAACTCCAATAGGTACTCCTTGTATTTCAAAATTATGTCAAGTTGTTACTTTTTTTCTCAAATAAGTGATGATTTCTAAATGATTTTTCTGTAGATATTATATACTAAAATAGGAAAAAGAACCATTCATCACTTAGTAGGATTTGACTGGATATGACAAACCTCCCATAAATGATGAAACTAAAGTCTAAGTATTTGATAAAAATATTATATTTTAAATTTATACTGATTTAGAAAAAATGTGACAACTATATTAAATTAATTATTTAAAATTTATATAGATTATGTTAGAAATATTGATCTATCAATGATAAATTGTATGCTCTAGAAAAAAATACGGCATAAATTGGATACTTTTATCTCATGCATATTGCCAAATTGATAGGATAACAGCGACATAGTTTAATCAATTCTGTAATAAATGGACGTCAACGATAAAGAACTATTATAATTTTTCACACTGAATAAAACATATTACTATTCAGAAACCTTAATAGCCTAATTGACTGACTATCCGAACTTTCTCCTTGGTGAGATTTCGATTCTGCACTTCATAATTCCCTTCCTCAATTTTCCGCCATTACTCCCAATTCTTTTTTTTTCTTAAAAAGATATAACAATATTATTCCTCTAAAAAATAAAAAGAAAGTAAGAGCGAATTAACATAATTGGAGGCCTAAACTTCAATTTTAATTAGATACCCAAAACCTAACAAACTAGGTATTTATTTTATTTGAAATCTTGTTTATTAGTTTAGTTTAGTAGGCTAATTCTCAATTTAGCATGTAAGACATGTAAAGAGCTATGTATTATAATTACCTGCAAACCCCCCTCACACACAGGCACACGCACACGCACAGGCACACGCACACGCACGCGCGCGCGCGCGCGCGCACACACACACACACAAGCACCCGCACAGGCACACGCACGCACACGCGCGCGCGCACACACACACACACACACTTACTTTAATTTCATAAATACTACATACATCAAGAAATGATGACTTGCTTTCGATAATCCAATATGCTACAGTGCAAACTTCAGTCACTTCTAAACAAACTCCAACTGACTATAACTTACAAATAGCAATGCACCAATTCAACAATATGTAATTCAACACACACCCTCAAACTGAAGGGTGGTAGATATATAAAATAGGACGTTAGTCATAAACAGATGATGTTGACTAGCACCTAACCCTTTTGTGAGAATGTCAACTGGTTTCATAGTAGTGCACAAATGTTTAAGATTTATAAAGCCTGATTTATATTTCTCTCAAATGAAATGACAATCAATGTCGATATGTTATGTACTGTCATGAAAGACTGGGTTTTCAGTTATCTGTATAGCTTATTTGCTATCTGTAAAGACTAAGATTGGGATGTCAACTGGAAAATGTAACTCATCTAGTAATCCTGATAACCAGATCAATTCTGCAATAAGTGTTGCCAAGCTCCTATACTCTTCTTCAGCGATTGTTTGTTGTTTCTTCGATTTCCATGAAATAAGAGAATCTCCAAGTTTTACCATGTAACTCTGTGACTGATTTTTGTGTGTTAGGGTATAGAACCTAGTCTGAATTACAATATCCATTGAGTTCTGTAACACCAATACCTCTTTTGAGCATTATCCCAAGTCTTGGAGACCTTTTGACATATCTCACAACTCTTAGTGCAGCTTCTCAGTGAGAAATCTTAGGATGTTGCATGAACTGGCTCAGAACTTGTACACTAAAACAAATATCATGTTTGGTGATTGTTAAGTATAACAGTTTACCAATCAATATTTGATATGTCATAACATCTTCTAACTCTGAATCATCAGAACCACCAATGTGTTGATCGAATTCTACACTAGTCAATTTGTGCTTAAATTCCAAAGGAGTTCTTACGGTCTTTGCTCCACTAGTCTAGTTTCCAAAATAAGTTGTAAAGCATACTTTGTTTCATTCAACAACAACCCTTCTTTTTACTTCAAAACTTCAATCTAGAAAATATCTAAGACTTCCCAAGTCCTTTATTTTGAAATATTTGTGAAGTGTGTATTTTGCTTCTTGGATCATCCTGGAACTATTCCCAGTTATTAAGAGGTATTCAAAATACACTAAAATCACAACAGTGTCAGATCCTACCTTTCTAATGAACAAAGAATGATCATGAGCACTTTTTGAGTATCATGCCATCAATAATGCCTTAGTGAACTTGATGTTTCATTGTCTTGATGCTTCTTTAAGACCATATAATGACTTCCTCGGCTTGCACACTTTAGATCGCCCCTCTGCCCCCCTCCCCCTCCCCCTCCCCCACTCACCAATGATTGGGAGACAGAGAAAGTTCTATATAGATTGCTTCAAGTAAATCATGTTGCAAGTAAGCATTGTTGACATCCATTTGAGACGAATCCCAACTATGAGAGGCTGCTAGACTAAGGACAATCCTGATGCTAACCATTTTAGCAACTGGTGAAAAATTATCTTGAGAATCAAGACCTTCTCTTTGAGTATACCCTTTGGCAACCAACATTGCCTTGTATCTATCAACATCACTATTTGTTATGTACTTTATCTTGTACACCCATGTGGAACCATTTGCTTTCTTTCCAGGTGGTAAGTCAATAATTGTCCAAGTATGGTTATTGTTATTTGTAGTTTTAATGATATAACAAACTCAGGAAAAGTCAGAAAAGTCAGACCTTTCCAACCAATGACATGAGTTTAAGTAAAGGGATTTGTCTATACAATGTCATCTTTCTAAACATGGCTCTTTAGTTTTTGAAACTTGAAAAAGTACATTCAAGAATCTCTTGCAAAGGCTAAAGAAAATCAAGGAGAAGAATCATTCAAGAACAACCTAAACTCAGGCGTATATTGTGTAGTTGTTTGAGAATATATTCTTTCAGTCTTACAACTCTCTTTGCTCTAGCATCAAACTTCCCACCCCAAAAACTCTAATGTGATCCAATCTAGGAGGTTTTCCAAACATTCTTTCATAAGGAGAACAACCATCAAGGACAGTAGTAGGCAATCTATTAATTAATTATACTACAGTTTGTACACATTCACCCCAAAATCTACTAGGAACATGAGATTGTATCTTTTAAGGCTCTGCCTGTGTCCAGATTGGGTCTATGTTTTCTTTCCATATTGTCATTTTGTTGTGGGGTGTAAGAACAACTACTTTGATGTATGATGCCTAAGAAAGATAACAAGTCATTCACTTGACTGTTAAAAAATTCAGCGCCATTATGACATCTTAAAACCTTTATTGCACTATCAAATTGATTACAAATCATGGATATAAAGCTTCTCAATAATAATACTACATTTTTCTTTTTGTGCATAAAAGAGATTCATGTAGTACTAAAATCATCAACTATAGTCAGAAAATAATGTTTTCTTTCATAAGTGGGATCTCGATGTGGCCCCCAAACATCTTACACCAGCTCAAACATTTTTGAAGTCCTGAGAAACACTAGAAGGAAATTTAAGACTATTGCTTTGCTAAAGGACAAATAATGCAGTCTTCTTGGACTTTCTCAAACTTTATTCTGCAACACAGGAAGGTGTTGCATTACTTTCAAGGAAGGATGTCTCTGTCTAAGGTGCCAAAGTCTATGGTCTTCTAAGAATTTGTTGTTGAGCACTGCTTCAACAGTAGTTATGGCATCATGCCTTAGAATGTATAAGTCTTCCTCCTCTTTACCATTCCCAATTACCTCTCCAGTACAGAGAGCCTGCATTGCACATAAATCAGGATAAAATGACACCATGTATTTCACGTCTTTAGTCATCTTGGAGACTGACAATAAGTTGAACCTGAAGTTTAGGACATGTAAAACATTTTTCAACCTGTAATTCTCTAAAATCATACCATTTCCAACATGTTCTACATGAATTTTACTTCTTTTGGGTACTTATACCTTATTACAACTGGTTCTGATAATTTTCTACAATTACTTAGCAAATTCTCACAGTATGTAATATGATGTGTATCTCCGGAATCAACAATCCACTTTATTGTATGACCATTAGCACTTACAGGCAAAGGATACATACCTCTTGTTGCATTGGTCGTACAAGTTTCTGATGGTGAAGGAGACTTCATCATCTTGACAACCTGATCATATTGGTCCTTTGTGAAATATATTTGGGATAAGGATCCAGATCTAGGTGCTTCAGCTTTATCTGATTACAGAGAAGTAGAGGTATTTGCATACGCCTCATTTACAGACATCTTCCTTTTATCTTAAAGTCAGCAACAAATCCCACAATTTTATAGCAATTGTATCTAATGTGACCATTATACCTACAATGATCACATACCAATCCAATTATCCTCCCTTGTGAAGTATGCCCTGTGTCTTATTAGCTTGAAAGTTGTTGTTATTGATCTAATTCTGATTGTTGTAATTATATGAATAATTGCCTTTTCCGACCATCATTGTGAAAGGTTATTTTCCTCCTTTTGTCTGCCTTAGCTTCCTTTAACTCTATTGAAATAGGCTTGATTTACCCAGAAGGACTGAGTAAGATAGAACTCCTCACATGTGTATAACTTTCATTCAGCCCAACCAAAAACTGCAACGGCCTTTGTTGTTTGACGTGTGATCTTGACTCTTCTCAACCACACGATGAAAAACCTAGTCAAATTCGATTTATCAAATTTTTCCTTGAAACCACTCCATATTTTCTTCGAACTAGAAGCATATACAAAGCTTGTCATCAGTTTTGGTGCTACAGCTGCTCTAATCCATGATAATACAAATGCATCACACCTCTCCCATCGAATTTTCAAGTCTCCTTTGTATGAGATTTTAGCACAAGTTTCATCAACAAATCCTAGTTTATTTTTACTAGAAGTGTCAATCGCATGGAACTACTCCAAACATCATAGCTCTCTGGCCCTGTGAGCTTCATAGGAATCAAGGCAACACCAGGAGTATCTGAGGTTTCAAGATGAAGTGGATGATTATGGTTTGTTTGCGGATTATCTTTTGTATCTAAACTCTATGGTTCCACCATTGTTGTTCTGCAATGAATGACGATTTACAGCTCCAAACAGCCCTTCGATCAATGCTCTAATACCATAAAGAATTTTTGAAATCTGGAGAAAGAAGAAAGAAAAATTATATTTCATTGAATCATATTGTATTACATTTGTGATCTCAAAAGTTTTCTTACTTAGCATCTGCACAGCTATCTCTATATATAGAGGATTTCAGTTATTGTAACTAACTGAGGTGTCAAACCACGTGACCTTTCTAGCTGAGTTGTCAATTCCTAATAAACTCCAACTAACTATTAAACTGACCAATATAAATGCACAAATTTAAAAATATGTAATTCAACAAAAACTAAGCTCTTATAAAATAAAAGGAATAAATTTAATGAAAAAAAGATAAATGTAGCACCTTTTCGATGATCAACTTACATAACATAATTAAGTGAAATGACAAAGAAAGGAAAAAGAGAGTTTTTATCTCACTTATCAGTGAAAAAGCGCTAAATTTCTTCAATAATTGCCTAAAAATTAAATATTAAAAGAGAAGTTCGAAGCATGAAAATGTATTAGTTACTTACTATGCTGGTTAGAAGGCCAACTTTGTGAAAATATCAACCTCCGCAATAATTTCCAACATCCATTCACATCACATTGCAAGCTCCTTATGAAGTTTTAGAATGTACACGCACATTTTTCTTCGGTTAAAAATAAAAGAATATAATGAAAAGTGATCAATGAAAAGTTTATTAAACAATCATGCATTTTTTTATATAACCATCTGGTGACCTCTTTGCGACACAAATATAATACTGACTCTGATAATAAATTACCCCAACTTGTCATTCTCCTTAATCATCATTATTACTGTTAAAACAATAAGTGCATATTTCTCTCATAATTAATACCGTGCAACTCTTCATGCACCTTCTTTAATATAATTATTATAGCAATAAGTGAACATTTATAGGTAATGGGAGAGTAATTTAGATTTGGAAGAAAATCAAAAGCCCAAATTGGATAAATCAAACAAGCAGGTATATACCAATTGACATTAGTATAATAATATGATATAATTATTATCTAATATTTAATTTATTATTAGCTTATAACATTTTAAATTAATGTATGCGTAAAACAGTGATCTAACTTTTGTCCAACATTCTTTTAATTTATAATAGGGCTAAAATCGTAATTCAACTTTTAATCTTTTTTTCCCACTTATAGAGATACTAGATCTGGGAACGTGCATTGCACGTTTATTCCAAAATACTTCATATAAATTTTGTATTACAAATTACATATTTTATCCCCTTTGAATCGATGTAATTTACTAAAAAAATGTCATCCTTTTCAGATAGGAACTACATATATCTTTCTAAGAAAAGAATATATATTTGATTACTAATTTGATTAAAAGTGTACAAAATAAAAGTAAGTAACTATTGCACAAATTCAATATTCAAATGAGGATACTAAAATACCATATGCTAGGGTAATGGATACAAAGCAACAAACCATGGTAAATTTCAATAATAATAACAACACAACATTATAAATTTTTTACAATAACAACAAAGAAGACACATAAATATTAAACTAAACAAATAATAAGAGACGAGAGAAGAGAGAAGAGAGTATAGATATTTTTTTTATAATTGATTTAAGTGTGCACATTATTGTGTGAAATGTCACTATTGATATGATAGTATTGAAGAACACAAAGAGTTGTTATGAATATGAAATTAATTCATTTGAGATTATGGTGAGAGGTAGGAGTAAAAACCATAATAAATATAATCAGCGAGTTACATATATTTACAATGAAGAATTAGTGATAATAAAATTTATGCGTATCAATATGACGATTTGTTATTTAATATTTAATTAATTAAATAACTTATAACATTTAAATGTAATGTATGAGTAAAAATCTAAGGATAAAATATGTAATAAAAAATGTATATATTAAATTTATAATGAAAAATCATTATGATTAATTATTAAGAAATTTGTAGCAACTATCAATATGAAAAATCATCACTATTAGTACATGAAAGTTGTAAAGATTGTGCATTTTTTTTTCTTTCTTGTTAATAATAACTTACAATTTAATAATGAGTATTGGATTGTAAGTTTAGTTAGACATAGAAGTATTATTATCATAATACAAAGAGTCAAAATTCATGAATCCCAAAATAAATATTAATAAAAAATTATTTTAAATAATTTCAAGATAATAAATTAATAGTCAAGATATAATTTTGTAATTCAACTTTTGACTTAGATTCTTCTCAATTTTAATATAATTAATTTCTAAACACGTGTCTCATCCTAATATATTAATATAGACTTCCTAAAATGAAGTATATAATACTCTATTTAGCAATTGAACAGTCATTTAGTTGAAAAAAGTAGATTCAAATGCAATATATATTTGTAATGTAATATTATTCATTTGTCATGTAACAAAACGAGATACATGCTTCGGAGTTATTCTTTTCTTCACGAAGATAGCAACTTTAGGTATGATACCAATAATGTTTTAAAAATAAATATACATACTAAATAAGAATTGAGAGGACACAAAGCATACAAAAATGACATTAAATGAAACCAATAAAGTTGGATTTAAAATCAGACTCATGAAATATATACTTCATACTTACGAATTTGGTTCAACAGCTACTCCCAGAGTGATACTTTTTGGAGCAAACTAAAATACAGAGTGTGTGAAATAAATAAAATAAAAAATATTATCTATATACATTATTTCATAAACACAAGTGAAATTTAGCAGTAAACAGAAATTGAACTTGTTCAAAGGAAAAAAAATAGTATTACCTTATGCTAGGGTAAACTCAACAAATAAGAGGGCGATAATAATAGCTCTTTGTGTTGTCTAACAGAATAGGGTGGTAACTTTATAAAGTGCAAAGAATATGAAAAAAGTATAGATTATATAAGTGATTGAAGTTTAAAAGACAAAAGATATAAATGTTGTAATAGGAAAAGTTTGATACGTTAGTTAAATGATCAGGACAAAGTGGTTATTTTAAATATAATTAGGAATATTTTTGTAATTCAACTTTCAACTATGGAGCTTCCTAATTTTAGTATAATATGACTAGTTCCCGGAATGTAATGTGCACATTTGTCCCATGCAATTACTATAAAGTTGAATTATTATATAGAAAATGTTGAGCTTAAAAATATTAGTTTTACCAATTTATATTTCATTCATTAAATAAAATTCATAATAATCAAATATTACATTGATCATCAAGCAAGAAATATGAAAAAATAATAATATTACTATAGCATCTAATAGTATGAATATATCTATATATTTATCCTTAATAATCTCTCATTACGCTTTATATACTACGTACACTAATATGTATCTACTTAAGAAACTATATCACTAAGGAAAGGATAAAAGAAAAAAATAATTTGTTCATGGTTATATTTATCCAATAATTTGTTCATGGTTATTTTTGAGAAAAGGAACAAAATTGTCCTTTATGTTTGAATTAAGAATCATAGCAATCCTTGTATTTTACATGAGCACTAATAGTTTTTCATGTTTCAAACAATTGGTATACTTTTTATATCCTTGCAAACGGACGTCAAAAATCCAATGATGCTTTCTCTTTTACACGTGAGAAAGGTTTCCCGCCAAAACTCACTTTTCCTTTGTCTCTTCATTTTCCTTGTTAAACCAGACTTCTCTTCCCTTTTTTCTTCAAAACAAACCCTATAATCTCATTTTGTTCTGAATTTCATTAAAAGGTTGATCCATTTTTTGAAGCAACTATGTTGTTAAGGCACAACAATAATAGAGAATCAACTCCTACTTATGGTGAGAATTTTTTTCAATCTCTAGATTATTATTATTGCTTTAGAGAATTATTTGTTCGTCTGCATCACTTTCTAGTCACATTTTTTTCATGAGATGTTATAAAAGCAAAAGAAAAAACTTGATCCTACCATTAAAAACTATTGTGAATGGTTAAATTTCTTTCGATCCTTAAATAGATATCTTGATAAAAAAGTTTTTTTGTAGAATACACTTTAACCCTCTTATTAATATGAATCTAGAGATTAGGTTATTGAATGATTAGATTCAAAAAAGAAAATACAAAGTATTAAGTGGTAAGAAACTCAGATAGTCTAACTATTCACAAATAGTATTAGGATCAATGGTGAAACAAAAAGAAAACACTACAGAAATCAGCAGAGTGGCAATGGCAATAAAATTTGGGTTGTAAGAAGTAATAAGATCCTCCTGCATCTGCAAATGAACTGTCGAATCTGAATACGGTGGAGGGTTGGAGCTAGCTACGTTGCTAAGGTCGTTACGGTATAGCACCACAAGATGATGCACCTCGAATACAAACATTACGATCCTACACATACTTGCAAAGAGTGGCACCATGAAATAGAACAATCACGTCATCCTTCATTGCGAGAAAATATCTGAATGAAATTGGATCAAATAGAAATGATAGCTTGGCTGATTTTAGAGATAGAGTGAGTGTTGTAAGTGCTAAAGTGACTTTATCACTAGTTAAAAGAGCAAAGAGTAAGGCCATTTCGATTCTCGATGGTCATATCAAGGACCAATTCACAATGATGTGGGACTATTGCAATGAAATGGATAGGAAAAATCCAGGAAGTACTATTCGTATGAAGTTTACTGATAATGAGGTGCTGGGACAACCATACGGATTTCAGAGAATATACATTTGTTTTGATGCTTGCAAGTTCGGCTTCAAGGCTGGTTGTAGAAAAACAATCGGAGTGGATGGTTGTTGGTTGAAGGGTCCTATGTACGGAACTCAATTGTTATTTGCAGTTGGAATTGATGGTAACAATAATATATTTCCCATTTCCCACGCCAATGTGGAGAAAGAAAATAAAGATACATGGACTTGGTTCTTGACTTATTTGGCTAGCAATTTGGATATACATGAGGATGAGGCTAGTTGGACCTTTATGTCCGACAAATAAAAAGGTCTTATTGAAGCTTTTAATGATATTTTACCATATGTTAGTCATAGATTTTGTGTGAAACACCTTCATAACAACTTTAAAAGAGCAGGTTTGGGTAGCTTCTCATCATATATTATTATAAGAGGGAACCAAAAAAGTTGA